CGCTGTATTGAGTGGGGGGGACGCATGTGGACAGTGGCACTGGGGCCTTCGGTGGAGCTCCCTGTGCGGCCATGAAACGCTGTACTGAGTGGGGGGGACGCATGGGACGGCGGCACGGGTCCTCGGGGAGATATCCCCATGCGGTCCGCCGTCGTCGCTGTATGAAGGGGGGGGGCGCATGTGGACGGGGCACGTACCCTCAGAGCGCAGCTCCCTATGGGGCCACGAAGCGCTGTACTGAGTGGGGGGACGCATGTGGACGGTGGCACTGGGGCCTTCGGTGGAGCTCCCTATGGGGCCACGAAACGCTTTACTGAGTGGGGGGGGGCGCATGTGGACGGTGGCACTGGGGCCTTCGGAGGAGCCCTCCACATGCGGGCCACGAAAGCGCTGGTACGGATTGGGGGGGGACGCATGTGGACGGTGCACTGGGGGCCTCGGTGGAGCTCCCTATGGGGCCACGAAGCGCTGTACTGAGTGGGGGGGGCGCATGTGTACGGTGGCACCGGGGCCCTTCGGTGGAGCTCCCGTATGGGGCCACGAAACGCTGTACTGAGTGGGGGGGGCGCATGTGGACGGTGGCACCGGGGCCTTCGGTGGAGCTCCCCATGGGGCCACGAAGCGCTGTACTGAGTGGGGGGGACGCATGTGGACGGTGGCACTGGGGCCTTCGGTGGAGCATATAAATTTGGGTTTCTTTTCATTTTGACTTTTCCAGCCTTGGCCACGAAGCGTTGTAGTGCGTGGGTGCGTGGAGGTGACGCATGCGGACGGTGGCCACTGGAGGCCTTCGGTGTAGCTGTATGGGGCCACGAACGCTGTACTGAGTGGGGGGGACGCATGAGGACGGTGGCACTGGGGCCTTCGGTGGAGCTCCCTATGGGGCCACGAAACGCTGTACTGAGTGGGAGGGACGCATGTGGACGATGGCACTGGGTCCTTCGGTGGGGCTCCCTATGGGGCCACGAAACGCTGTACTGAGTGGGGGGGGCGCATGTGGACGGTGGCACGGGGGCCTTCGGTGGAGCTCCCTATGGGGCCACGAAACGCTGTACTGAGTGGGGGGGACGCATGTGGACGGTGGCACTGGGGCCTTCGGTGGAGCTCCCTATGGGGCTACGAAACGCTGTACTGGGTGGGTGGAACGCAGGGAAGAGGGGGAGGAGGGAGGTGGAGGGAGGAGGGAGAGGAGGAGAGGAGAGGAGGAGGAGGAGGAGAGAGAGAGAGGAGGAGGCAGGGGAGGAGGCGGAGGCAGGAGGAGAAGTAAGAGGAGGAGGAGGAGGAGGCGAGGAGGAGGGAGACATCGGGGACCGTCTCATTCAAAAACGAAGACACACACAACACAGGTTGGTTGGGAAAAACGTTCTACCGCTGCTGGCGGAAAAAAGGGGGGACTGGTGGTTCCAACCCGTCCACCTACCCCTCCAAAATGGGGGGGTCACTACGGTCGCGATCCTCTCCCCCCACAGTCCTCATGAAAGTGGGTGGGGTCACGGCGGTACGAACCCCCCACCCCACCCCCACACCAACCACCCCTGGAAAACCGGGGGGGAGGGGCCTTCAATGCGGTCCGTGAAGAAACGCGCCCTTCGCCGCTGGCAAACGTTTCCCGCGTGGTGGGGACGGTGGTGGTGGGGACAGTGGTGAGGGGACAGCGGGACAGTGGTGGAGACAGTGGGACAGTGGTGGGGACGGTAGTGGTGGGCACAGTGGTGAAGGCGGTTGTGAGGACAGTGGTGGGACAGTAGTACAGTGGGGAAAGTGGTGGGACAGTGGGGACAGGGGGATAGTGATGGGGATAGTGGGGACGGTGGGACAGCACAGTGGGACAGCTTTGGGGAAAGTGGGGAGCGAGAAGAGTGGGGACCGTGGGTGAGAGGAGATTGGGGGGAAGAGTGGGGACCAGTGAGGACACAGGTGGGGGCACGGGTGGTGGGCAGTGGGGACAGTGGGACAGTGGTGGGGCATCCCTTCGTCGGGGACACTGGTGTGGGGACAGTGGGAATATGGTGGAAACAGTGGGACAGTGGAGGGTACAGTGGTGGTGGGGACAGTGGTGAGGGCGGTGGCGAGGACGGCGGTGGGATGATGGGACAGAGGTACAGTGGGGACATCGGTGGGGACAGTGACAGTGGGGACAGTGGTGGGAACAGTGGGACAGCTCAGTGGGACAGCGGCGGGGACAGTGGGACAGTGGGAGTGGGGACAGTGGGACAGTGGTTGGGGCCGTGGAAAATGTGGGGAGAGTGGAACCGTGGTTGGAACAGTGGTGGGGACAGTGGGGACAGTGCCACAGTGGTGGGGGCACTCGTGGGGAGTGGGGACGGTGGTGGGAACAGTGGGGGCAGTGGTGGTGAGGACAGTGGTGCTGGGGACAGCAGGGGGGGATGTGGTGCGGACTGTGGTAGGGACCCAGGAGTCGTTTGATGGCGGTGAGCGTGGGGGGGGGAGGGAGGGGCGATACCCACGCTTACGAAGACCGCCCTGTTTTCGAGGGGGGGGGTTCGAAACCAGTATGGGACCCCGGGGGTTTCGAGTGGGGGCGGGGGGGGTTCGGAACGGTAGGGACCCCCCCGTTTCGAGGGGGGGGGGGGGGTTCGAAACCCGTAGTGACCCCCATTCGGTTTCCGGGAGGGGAGGGGGGAGGGGTTCGAACCTGTAGTGACACCCCTCTGGTTTCTTTGGGGGGGTTGGGGGTTCGAGCCGGTAGGACCCCCCCTCCTCGGTTTTTTTTTTTTTCCAGAGGGTGGGGGACATCGAGGCCGTAGTGACCCTCGCCGGTTTTCGGAGGCAGGTTCGGTATGGGAGGGGGGGTTTTGCCGGGGGAGGGGGGGGGGTTCCAGCGGGGGGTGGGTATTTTGAGGGGGGGGGGCCCCCTGGTTCCGGAGGAAGAGGGGGGGGAATTTTCGACCGTAAAGCGGCGGTAGATCACGCTCTCTTGTATATATGTATATATAAGAGCCAAAGCCAAATCAATAGGGTTCAGCACGCCAGGCACCCCTGTGGCAAGACCACAAGGGGGCGGCGGATCCAATAGCTTGCGGCCCATCCCGCCACTGTGCCTGGGTTGTGGAGGCTCTTTTGGGGACTTCTGGGGGGGTCGCTGGGGACACTTTGGAAGCTCTTTTCGCCTTCTTGAGGGCACTTTTGGGGCGTTCTCGGGCGTCCGCTTCGGGCGGGAAGTCCGAAATGTCATGTTAGTTTCCTTCTCTGGGGCCTGTCATGGTGCCCCCCCTTGGGGCCGTTCGCGCCGCCTCTTGGGCCGCCTTGGGGCCCTCGTGCGCCGTCGGGGGCCTCTCTTTGGGGCCTGGTGCCCCTCCTTGGAACGGGTTTGGGACCCTCCTTGGTCGTCGTGGACGCTGTGAAAGTTCAGCAGGCGTGTATGCCAGACGCGCACGTCTTCTGGAGGGAATGGCGCGGTTTTTGCTTCTGCGGGCTCTCCTGCCTCTGGACCGGCTTGGGGGCCTCTGGGGTACCTCTTAGTGTCCCTCCTGGGGCTCCGAGGGCAGAGCGGAGAGCGGCGACGCCCCCCCGGGTAAGAGTTCCTCCAGCGGTGGTGCTCGGCTGTCTGGAGGTCGGAACGGGGTGTGGCATAAAGGGGTATGGTGCCAATCGTGGAAATGGCGATGCTATCTGCGACAAATGACATCGCCAGAGTCCCCTTTGCTTCAAATTAGCACCACACCCCTTTACACCATACCCTTTTCCTACCTCCAAAGGCTGGGGGGAGGGTCACATTCCCTGTCTGGGCTCCCAGACCCACAGCGGGTCGGCGGATTCGGCCTCCCTTCTGGTGGTGGCTCGATGTCCACCCGGGCACGCTTCTGTCGGGGGAGCGTAAGACCCGGGTTTGCCAGGACTCGGGTTCGCCATCGTTTTTTGACGACCGCGCCTCGGATTTTGACGAGGAGGAGTTTCGTGGGATGTCTGCAGCGGGAGACCTCGTCAAAATGCAGGCTCGGCCTCGTCATTTTTTTGACGACCTCGTCGGGGATTCCCGAGTCCCCTGTACCCAGGTCTTACGTCCCCCTGATTCTGGAGCTCCTGCGGGGCTACTCCACGGGGCCGGTGTCCGTGGCCTCCCTGCTGGTTTTCGGCCTCCTCACGCTCGGCCGGGTGAGGCTGCGCGACCAGGGCCATCTGGGGGGACGCCGTCGGTCGCCTGGCAACATGCTGCATGCCATCGATATCTCTTTTCATTGGCGTGAAGCTGGAGTGCCCCCTGAGTCTCTAGGCCTCCTATATGGGGTCCGAGTAGATGGGGTCGGAGGATCGCGCCGCATCGCCGATGCATCGACGATGGGGCTCGATGTGGAGACCGATTTTCCCCACGCCGACGTCGCGGATGCGTCGCCGACGTCGCTGATGCATCGCCGATGCATCGCCGATACATCGGCGATGCATTGGCGATGCGGCGCGATCCTTCGACCCCATCTACTCGGACCCCATCTAGGAGGCCTCTAGAGTCGGCATGCTGGGCTCTTCGCTCAGATTGTGGCGAGGAGTGGCTTTGCCTTCCTCTTCGTGTGGGTCTTGAACGGGGTGCTCGGGCTGGGCAGGGCGGAGCTCATGCTCGGGCTTTTCTTCTGCTACTTTGCCGTCAGTTTCTGGCCCTACACCCAGGTTGCCGGCGTGACCCAGCGGGAGGAGAGGGCGTGTCTCGGTCTTTTGCGCGGCCGCTTCCCTGCGCTGGAGCGTTAATGTGCTCAGCGAACGAGCGACTGCCCCAGCGAGGCTGGGAATGCGACCGGGGGTTGCGTATCCACAGCGAAGAACAGCAATCACATTGAGCCGCCCGATGCGAAGATCGTCAAGACGCTCCGTGACTTTCGGCAGCACGTGGAGGGGCATTTTGGCGAGCTCTCTGAGGCGCTGCAGCTGTGCCGCGACAGGCTCGCTGAGGACCCAGAAGTTGTGGAGAGTCTGGACTTGCCCGCTCTCAGCGAGGCGCTCTTGACCTTCGATCTTCCACTGGCCGTGTTTTCTGGCGGAACGACTACTCAATTCTCACGGTGGGCGCAGGGTTTGTGGTGATTGGCATCTCCGAGCTCTTCCGGCGGCGCTGCGACAAGAACCGAGGGCGTCGGTCCAGCATCATGTCGAAGTCGATGACCGCTCTTGAGGCCGAGGAGAATCTGCCCAGACGTGTGTCGATCTGCTCCACCGCGTCGCACGTTGGCAGCGACGGTGGCGACGGTGGGAAACGTAGTGGAGAGGCCACCTCGCGTCTGGGCGAAGTTGCCGACATCACCGAAGAGCGCAGGACTGATGCGACAACGCCTGCACAGCCGCATGAACCAAATGCCGTGCACCCACGGAGCGCTCTCGCCTCTCATCCATCGCGTTGACCTTTTGAGCTTCGCTTGCCAGGCAAAGCAAGCGCGCATCTTTTTTCGAGCCTGCCGCAGCCGCCCCAGGCAGCCCCAGGCAGCATTATTTTAATCATACAAATTCTGATGATATCGTCAGTTCTTTGATTGCATTTGTATGCGTATTACTTTTACGACTGTGATCACTTTTGTTATCGTTGCTTTGTGTAATGCTTCTAGCAGTAGTAGGACTAGTAGTAGGAGTAGTAGTAGG